GTAATAAAAAAATGATAAATTGGGGGTCCAAAGAATTTTGACAGGTCCTAATAACAGCACTCTTTTTATATTGAGATAAAAATTGGAATTAAAGAAAATGGAAGATGTGGGAGTTCTAAGAAGATATGTAAGACTAAATAGCAGCCCTCATATTCAAAATGAAACAAATGAAGCGTATAGGAGTAATTCTACTTATACCAATCATTTTAGAGAAATTTTATTTCGACACACCAAATTATCTCTGTATACATCTTTTCTCAATCCACACATTTAATAATTTGATTTTTACTTCTTTATCTTAGTCCACACACTTCACATTCCAAATATACCCTCACATTCTCTGTGCACATCCTCTCCTTCCATCCTTTCTCACTCCAAAAACCTTAATCCTAACTATACCAGCTACCAGCGACGGTGACAGTGACGACATCAACCACCACCCCTTCCTAGCCTCTCAGCCATTCTCACACAGCCCCTCATGCTGCCGTTACCTCTATCACGATCATCGTCGATCACTTTCACCTCCATCGTGATCATCATCGGTCATCGTTACCTTTGTGATCCACCTTCTCACCCCTTTTCCAGTCTTCTCTGCCCCCTCTCCAATCCTTTCTGCCCCCTCCATCCTGATGCAACCTCTCTCCTTCACCACAATCGATCGATCGATCGATTGATTAACAGAGAAAGAAAAAGAGACAAAGAAATATTCGATGGTTGATGCTCGAACAAACCCTATAGATTCAATAGTTGATATCTATACATACTCAATTGGTTCGATAATTGATATTCGAATGATGGCAATATGTTCGGCACTGGTTGTTCGAACGGTCGCGATTTCTCCGGCGATCTACCGAAAAAGAAAAAAAATGAAATAGGAAGGTTAGAGACTGAAAAGAGTGTGGAAAGGGAAAGAAAATGTTGTGTATGGTTGAGGTTTGGGCATGGGAGGCGATGGCCGGTGGTGAAGTGGCTGGTGGGATGGTGGTGGGTGAGATGTTTATGGAGAAATTGTGAGATGTGTGGGTGAGGTGGTGGTGGGTGAGATGGTAATTTTGTTAAAAGATAAAATTGTGATTTTGAAAAAATTTATTAAGTGTATAGAGTAACGAAACTTGGTGTGTGAAAATAGGAATTTCCTATCATTTTATCTTCTTACGCCCCACATTTTTAATTTTTTTAAATTACACTTTTATCCATTTTCCAAGTTCCCAAAACAACCCTCAAGAATTTAACCCTAACCCTCCTTTCACCACAATTTCTCTGGCCAGCACCATTGCCACTACTATCGGCGACCCCTCTCTAGCACGCTCAACACTGCGCCCCTGACCTTTGCACAGGCCTCGCAGTAAACAATTCCTCTGATCATCAAATCTAGGCAAGCTCAAACTGTTCATTTGATACATTGCCTTCAAACTCATTGAATCAAAGATCTAAGAACTTCAACATCGGCAATTTCAATACCACCAGAGGGAATTTTCCGGCTAAATGATTGTTATTCAGATCAAGCATGAAGATAAGCTTCAAGTTCTTGAACTTGTGAGGCACAGTTCCACAAAACTAACTCAAATTTATGTGAAAGAATGTGAGATCGGTGAGGAGTGCAAGCCCATCCGGGAGATACCCAGCAATGTCACCATGATTGAGATCGATTTCAGCGACGGTTCCAATCGAGTGGTTGCCGAGCATTGCAGCACAAAAAACTTCGGTGTTGTGACACACATCAAATTCGACCTATTTTCTGGTGAGAGGTCGGTCGTAGTGTGGTTGGTTTGTGAGGAAAGAAAAGGCAGTGGTGGAGGAGATCGCAAGAAGCAAATGGGGGTTTCTGGTGAGAGAGGGGTTGAGTAGCTGTCGGAGGTAGAAGAGTGAGGTAAAATTAGGGTTCGAAAAGATGGAGGGTAAGTTTGGTATTATGGTAATTATAAGGAGAAAAAAGCAAAATTAATTTTGGTGTAATAAGAAATTAATAATGAGATGAAATAGTGATGTAACTTGTAAGTAGAATTTTTCAGGAGTGGTGATATTAGCACCCCATAAATTATTTTGGATCCCCCATTTCTTTAGACCCCCACTTATAAATTTTGAAACCCTGGTCTGTTTGGTAACGTTTACGTTTTCAGTTTATATTTACAAAAATTTTATAAACTGGTTTTTGTTTATTTTTAGAAAAACATAAACTACAAACGTGTTTGGTAATTGACAAAATGTTTAAAATTTTTTAAAAATATAAAAAAGAGTGAGAAATGGCAAGAGGTAGCAAGTGGCGGCGGAAGACGGTGGTGAAAAGTGGTGACAGTGGGTGGTGGGTAGCGGTGGTGGTGGTGGGTGGGTGGTGGGTGACGATGGCGGGTGGTGGGTGTAACGAGTGGGTGGTGGGTGGTGGCGGGTCGTGGGTGGTGGTGGCAGGTGGTGGCGGGTGGTGGTGGGTGTGTGGGTGACGGTGGCGGGTGATGGGTGATAGCGAATGGGTGGTGGTGGCGGGTGGTAGGGTGGTGGCGGGTGGTAGGTGGTGGTGGCAGGTGGGTGGGTGACGGTGGCGAGTGGTGGTGGTAGCGAGTGGGTGGTGGTGGTGGCAGGTGGGTGGCGGATGGCAAGTGGTGGCGGGTAGGTGGCGGATGGTGGATGGGTGGGTGACGGTGGCGGTGGTGGGTGGTAGCGAGTGGGTGGTGGTGGTGGTGGTGGGTAGTGGCAGGTGGGTGGTGGTGGTGGGTGTAGTGATGGGTGGGTGGCAGGTGGCTGGTGGCTAGTGGTGGTGGGTGGCTGGTGGTGGTGGCAGGTGGGTGGTGAGTGGTGGTGGCAGGTGGATGGCAGGTGGATGGTGGCGGTGGCGAGTGAGTGACAGGTGGGTGGTGGTTGGACGGGTAATGGGTGGTGGTGGGTGGTGGTAGCAGGTGATGGTGAGTGGTGGTGACAGGTGGTGGTAGAGGGTGGTGGTGGGCTGGTGGTGGCGGAAGACGGTGGTGGAAAATGGTGGCGGGTGGTGGCTAGTGTTGGGTGGTAAAAATAAAAAAAAAAAAAAACTCAAAATGGGAACACATTTTTTGTGTTTTCATTTTTTGGCCAAATTTATAAACTGAGACCACTGATTTATAAATAAAAAATTTACCAAATAAGTTTTTATTTGAGTTTTTAAAATTTTTGTAAATATAAACAGAAAACTGAAACGTAAGTGTTACCAAACGGCACGTTAAAATTTCTGTTCTCCTCCCAAATAATACCAAAATTTTCCTCAAACATTTCACCCATTGAATGCACACTCCAAAAAAAACCTCCATTCCAAAAAACCCTAACAAACCCACGAAGAAGAAAAAGAGTCTTATCATTTTCAAAATCCACGAAGAAGAACAAGAAGAATATTGTCTCTGCCAATTTAACCAACTTCCCATCTGATATTTTTCATTGCTCTCAAATCCAAACTCTTGATTTGAGCCACAACAATCTTTTAGGAGATGTTCCAATACAAAACTAATCTATGGTTGTCACCAACCTTACTTATCTTAACCTATCATACAATCACTTCTCAGAGATTAAAATTTCCGATTCCCAGTTCTTAAAACAGTTCAGTTGTTCGAGTTTTCTTCATTTTGGGCTTATCCCAGATCACAAAAAGTTCAAAATCAATGTTCGGTTACTGGTTCTCGAACAAATAAACAATGTGCGGGCCTATGTTCCCGAATTTCAGTTATATATTCGGGAGTTCAGTCCCGAAAAAATGATGAACATATTTTATTATTTTTGTTATTTTTTTCAAGAAACTTACCATTACAAGACCAATCTCTTTTGAGCTAAGAACAACATCAAAGCTATGAACCTCCTCTAAGTTTTTATTGTTGTATTCCTCTTGTCTTATAGAGTTGTGGTTATCAGAAAAATTTCCATTCATTGTCATAGCCAGAAAAGTGTAGGTAATCCAATGGTTGTTACCGTTACCGTTAGAATATTGCCGCCAAATGGTTTTTAAGGTTTTGGGGGTGGGTAAGTTTTAAAGGTGAGATTTGGAAAAGATGGATGGGTGGTGATGGAGGTGGGTGCCCTCATAAACCCTAATTCATGATGTAGTGGATGTGTAGGTTTAATTGTGAGATGGGGTATCCCAAAATTAATGATGTCCTTTATAGTAATTTTATTTGAGGTTATTATTGTAATAAAAAAAAGAGCTAAAAGTTGGGGAAAATTCTATTTCCACACACCAAATTATCTTTGTGTCCACACACTTAGTAATTTGATTTTTACTTCTTTATCTTAGTCCACACACTTCACATTTCAAATATACCCTCACTTTCTCTGTGCACATCCTCTCCGTCTTTCCTTTCTCACTCCAAAAAGCTTAACCCTAACTACACCAGCTACTGGCGACGGCGGCAGCAACACAACCTCCCTCATTCACCACGATCGATCAATTTCGATGTCCACATTGGAGGATTACGTGGTTGATGGTGCTATTATCTCTGTCACTGATTGAACGATGAAGAAGGTGTTTGCTGATGAAAAAAGGTTCGGCAACTAAAGAGTGCCATGACTTGTAAATGCACCTTCAACATGCCATTACTAGAAATTTTTTGTGTTGTAACCTTGTTTGTCTGAAACTGTTGTCTTCTCACAGTTCTCTTTCTGTCTCTCTCAAGAATTCTTGTTTTGTTTGAAGTACAGTTGGTAACTAAATTAACCATCTATCTCTATTAAAGTTCTAATAGATATATATATATTTTTTTCAGTTTTTTTTTTAGTTTCATTAATGGGTCTTATGAATTTTATACAAATTCAAATCTTTCTCTTTTTTTTACCTCTCTTGACTCTGAATTTTTCTGTTTCATTAATAAGAATTTGTGGGATTTGTTGTTTGGGGTGACTGAACTGAGACTAATACAATTAGTAGTCAATTCTATAAGATATTTATTATTATACAAAAGATTATAAATTAAACTTTGGTTTTTTTTTTCTTTCATTTTCATTGATTTTGATGGATGGCTTGTTTTGAAACTTATTTTTGGTGTCATCAGGAGGCAATTATTAATATAGAAGAATGGGTGAGACTGGGAAGCAATATCGTTCCCATAGGGACAATGATGGAGATAAAAAGAATGAATCAGAAGAGACGGGGAAATGATAGAGATGACAAGGGTAATGATGAACTAATCATTTATAGGATTCTATGCCTAGATGGGTTTATTGGTGGGCGAGATGTGTTTGGTAGTTGGTGAGATGTGTATGGAGAAATTATGAGATGGGGATTGATGAGATGATACTTTTGTTAAAGGATAAAATTGTGATTCTAAAAAAATTCATTAAGTGTGTAGAGTAAGGAAACTTAGTGTGTGAAAATAAAATTTCTCAAAAATTGAAGATTCAAAAAAATTTATGGAATGCTAATACCAGCACTTTTTTTTAGCGTATACAAGCACTGTCAAATGATGAAATCAGGATATTACCCCTCATGCTACTTCTTGAAATAACGACATTATTCCTCTCCTTCCACCGCGACAACCGTTACCGCCAACGTCTCTTTTGTCTTTTATTTCTTTTCTAGGTCGAAGCCCTTTTCTCTCCTGCCTCAAAATCTGTCACTCTCTTATCTCCACCATTTTGAGGGACTAAGAGGTCTTCGGCAATTTCCCCTCTATTCTTTCCTTTTATGTATGTGTGTGTATATATATATCATACCATATTTGATTATGCTTGTTTTAATTTCAAATATGGGTTTTGGTTGGTTGGTTGGTGATGTTGAGGGTTGCAGGAAATCTGAAATTTTAGATTCCATTGATTATTTATGCAAATCGAAGCATATGAGGGCAACATTCGATGTTGAGAAAGTGTGTGGACGAACTGTTTGATAAAAATCCCAAGTGGGTTTTGTGCTTGTAGTCATCAACTCAAATCAGGTGGTGGAGCCACCTCATGTAAGTGTTGATTTATAGAGAGAGAAGGGGTGACAATTGCACATAGGAGGCTGCTCTTTGCTTGGTTTGTCTGGAATGGTGGTGTTTTGTCTTGTATAAGTGAGATACAAGGTTAAAACTGGCATTTAAAAAAAATTAATTGCTGACATAAACAAAATTCCTTGGTTGACTAAGTGTTCACTAATGGAGGGTGTAATTTGAAATGCGTCTATAAACTTCGAGCAGATGTAATTTTCAGAACGATAAGAGTATTTCTATATTAAATGTAAAGTTTAAGAAATATTATTATAATTTACCTTTACATTAGGAGATCCAACCAAACCGATGGTAAAAATTACTTTGAGGAGTGATTTACCCGCCGAGAGGAAAAAGAAAGAGGTGTGTGAAGTAGAATTTTTTTTTTTCATTTTTTCTTTTTATTTATCCCTAACAAATTTCTTCACAAATTCATAATACAAACATGGTAAAAAGGTGTGTACTTCAAAGGGAAACTAAAAAATGGTTTTCCATGTTTTCATCCTTATTGCCATATGTTGCAAGTAGTATGAATAAGCTAATTTTTGTTTTGAAGAGCAGAGTTCTCAAATCACAAAATCTTGGTGGCATTCTCCCTCCAGAATTGGTCAAACTCCCTTATCTCCAAGAATTGTAAGTATTTGCTTTCCACTTACAAGGTATCACAAACAATGGATCAGTAATTACAATGAGAATCAAATTCAACATAAAATACAATTACATGTAAATTTCTAAAGTGGGAGAGAAATATCCTAACTAATACAAGGAAAGTAAGAACCAAATGTAGGTATATCGAACTGTTGACCTTCTAGTGAGGTGCAAGTGTTCTAGCCAATCTGGTCCATCGATAAAAAACTTGTAATTGCTTTTTCATTCTACGCCGGCATATACATTAGAATTGGCCATTATTTGCTAATTACTCTCTCTTTTGTGCAGTGACATCAGCCGCAACTACGTTAATGGTACTATCCCTCCAGAATGGGGTTCCTTGCCACTAGTAAACATGTATGTAAATACACAAATTTAATGAGACATGTACATCTATGTCATTTTGTGCTGTGTTTTTTTAATTATTTTATTTTATTTATGAATGGATTTGTAGATTAAAAAGAAAATCAATAAGAAATTTTTTATTTATCCTCTATAAATCCATTCACAATTTTAAGATTTAAATGCAACCTCGAAGTTTTTCTATTCATGTTTCTAATACTAAAAATGGTGTTATTGCAGATCCCTCCTTGGAAACCGAATAACAGGTTCAATCCCATCACAAATTGGAAACATCACCACACTTAACAGCCTGTGAAATTCTAATCACTCATATCTTTTTATTTTTAATTATTTTTTATTCTTATGCATATGAAGAATTTCACTCATGTTCTATTTAAGATTGGGAGTTTTCATGCTTGTAGAATCCTCGAGTTCAATGAACTATCGGGAGACCTTCCTCAGGAGCTTGGTAACCTTTCCAGCATTACGAGACTGTAATACCTTTTTACTTTCTTTTATTTCCCTTCCTTTCTAATTTATGTTACGTCACAAAGTTGTTAAATAAATGTGCTAGTCCTAATAGTGTTGAAATATATGTTACAACTTATGCCCTACTCTAATAGATTGGGCTTTTGGAGCATCCATTTGTTGGCACCCGAAGTTAAGGACAATTGATCCTTTTGATATGTCTATATATATATATATATATGTTGAATGTATAGATGATGATGAGAAGAAGAAGAAGAAGAAGAAGAAGAACAAGAGAAAAAGAACGAGAGAGAGAGAGCTGCTGTATATTTTTCAATTCAAAAGCATAGGGTTTCCCCCTTACACACAACTATTTATACTAATAAAAATAAGACACAAAGACCAAACTACCCCTAACACTTAACACTCCCCCTCAAGTTGGTGCAAAGATGTCTCTCATGCCCAACTTACAATAAATAGGGTGAAAGACTTTACTACTAAGACCCTTAGGAAAAACATCTGCCAGTTGATCTTCAGACAACAAAATGTATACATATCACACCCTTATTCAACTTCTCCTTAATGAAATGTCTGTCAATCTCAATATGCTTAGTCCGGTCATGTTGAACAGGATTGTGGGCAATACTAATAGCAGCCTTGTTGTCGCAATACAAAGTCATGGGATCATTGCAATCAAGCCCTATATCACTTAACAAAGATTGAAGCCACATTAGTTCACATGTTCCATGTGCCATAGTCCTGTATTCAGCTTCAGCACTAGATCTGGATACTACCGCCTGCTTCTTACTATGCCATGTGACTAGATTTCCCCCTACAAAGGCACACTAACCGAAGGTAGAGCGTCTGTCATCTATAGAGCCTACCCATTCTGCATTTGTGAACATTTCCAACCTTAAGTGACCATGATTAGAGAACAAAATTCCTTTTCCAGAGGCAGATTTAAGATACCTCAAAATGCGATAGACTGCATCCAAATGAGTTGCACAAGGATCATGCATAAATTGACTCACTATCCCAACTGCATACGCAATATCTAGACAAGTATGAGATATATCAGTTTTCCTACAAGTCTTTGGTACCTTTCCTTCTCCACAAGCTCACCAACCCCACTACAAAGATGATGATTAGTCTTAATCGGTGAATCAGCTAGTCTGCAGCCCAACATGTCCGTTTTCTCAAGAAGATCTAGAATATACTTCATTTGAGAAATGAAGATGCCTTTATCAGATTTGGCAACTTCAATCCCAAGAAAGTATCTCAATGGACCAAGATCTTTTATCTCAAACTCCTTGACTAATTGCATCTTGAGATGGGTCACATCCTCCTCATCCTTACTTGTCACAACTATGTAATCCACATACATAATAAGCACTATTACCTTATGTACATTGCGTCTGACAAATAAGGTGTGATCTGCATTGCTTTACTGATACCCAAATCCCAGCATTGCCTTTAGTAATCTACCAAACCAAGTTCTAGGAGATTATTTCAAGCCGTATAAAGCCTTCTTCAATCTACAAACCTTTCCAATTGTAGACTGAAATGAGAATCCTGGAGGTACATCCATATATACCTTCTCCTCCAAATCCCCAAGAAGAAAAGCATTCTTCACATCTAGTTGCTGTAGAGGCCATCCCAAATTAGAAGCACACGATAGAATAGCTCGAATGGAATTTATCTTTGCTACCGGGAAAAAAGTTTCTTGATAATCTATTCCATATGTCTGGGTAAATCCCTTGGCCACTAGTCTTGTTTTGTACCGTTCAATCGTCCTATCTGCATTGTGCTTAATGGTGAACACCCACTTACATCCGACTAGTTTTTTTCCATTAGGAAGAGACACCAACTCCCATGTGTTATTTTTACTCAAAGCTTGCATCTCTTCTACCATAGCTACTTTCCACTTAGGATCACCGATGGCTTCTTTCCAACCTTGCAAAATACACATAGAAGAAAGAGACGAAGCAAAAGCACGATATGGAGAAGACAACGATTCATATGACACGAATTTAGAAATAGGGTGTTGAGTGTAGGCTCTAACCCCTTTTTTGAGAGCAATAGAAAGACTCAAATCATCAGTAACAGGACTATCAACAATAGATGAAGAAATAGGTTGAGGATCATTACCTGTAGAGTCAGTGGAAACTGGGTGTGGAATTGGCATAAGAGATGATGATTGACTTGGTGACACAAGAGAAGTCTTCTCTTTCTGACGCCGTGAATAAGTCTTAAGATCAGCTCTGTCCAAACGACCACCAAAATCCGACTCCTCATCAACAGATTTGCTAGGCTCCCCCTCACCACAAATAACAGCCCGCTGATTAGGAAGGAAAAAAGACAACTCATGTTGATATGATGTTGTCTTATCCATAATCTCATCGAGACCACTCTACCCCTTAGGAGATAGCGGAGGACCAGAAAAAAAAGACTCGGATTCACGGAAGGTGACATCCATACTAACATACAACTTATGAGTGTGAGGATCATAGCATTTGTAGCCCTTCTGAGTAGCAGAATAACCAAGAAAGACACACCAGACAGCCTTAGGATCAAGCTTCCCACGAGGAAGAGGTTGAAGATGAACAAAACAGACACTCCCAAAAACTCGAGGTGGAAGGGAAGAAGTGTGATAAGTCACGGGGAGAAGCTCAAGAGGAATTTGGAAATGGAGGACACTAAAGGGCATACGATTAATAAGGTAAGCTGTGGTAAGAGCAACATCCCCTCAAAAAGACTTAGGAACGTTCATGGTAAACAAGAGAGAGCGAGCAACCTCAAGGAAGTGGCCATTCTTGTGTTCAGCAACTCCATTCTGTTCAGGAGTGCCAACACAACTAGTCTAATAAAGAATGCCATGCTCCTCGAGGTATGCCCTGAAAGCTCCATCAACATATTCAGTCCCATTATCACGCCTAAGAATTTTAATAGTAGCATTGAAGAGATTGGATACCATTTTATGAAAACTTTTGAAGCACGAGAAAACTTCATTTTTAGTACGAAGTAAATAAATCCAAGTCACACGGGAATAACAATTAATAAACGTGACAAACCACCAATAACTAGAGGTAGAAACCATAGGGGAAGGACCCCACACATCGGTATGAATAAGCATAAAAGAAAAAATACTTCTTTTATTAATTGAAAGATAACAAATACGTTTATGCTTAGCAAGCTCACAAGCATCACAAACAAAGTTATTCCTAGGACAATCTCAAACTAATGAAGAAAAAAGTTTCTCTAAAATACTAAAAGAAGGATGTCCCAAACGGCGATGCCACTGATGAAGAAGACGAATGGATGAGCTAGAAGTGTATTGAAGAGCCTGAGAGGACAAAGTTGATGCAGGAATGACATCCAGAAAGTACAGTCCACTGTGTGCTTTACCACTGCCAATCATTTTCCCCATAGCCAGTTCCTGAAAGACACAATGAGTTGGAAAAAAAGTTACAGAGCAATTGAGAGCAGTAGTAAGGCTATTAACAGAAAGTAAGTTAGTTGAAAAATTAGGAACTTGAAGAACAGATGAAAGCGAAAGTAGAGAGGTGCAATAAACAGAGCCCTTGCCGGAGATAGAAGATAACGTGCCATCAGTCACTCTAACCTTATCTCGCCCAAAACTAAGTGAATAAGAATGGAAAAAGCTAGAAGTACCCATCATGTGATCGGTAACACCGGAATCAATGATCTAAGGAGACGATGAAGAGGCACTAAGTGCACTGGCAGAAATATCTGTGTGGGCAAAGTTGGAAGAGGTAGAAGAGAAAGGAACTAAGGCAGCTGAAGAATCAAGTCGAGCCATCAAACGTCTGAGAGTGTGAAGCCCATCCTAGGAAATAGAACCAGCATTATCTGAGGCACTAACAGTAGTCTCAGAAATATGTGCTTGAGAACGAACACCACGACCACAACCACGGCCTCAAATAGGTTGTCCATGCAACTTCCATCAGTGTTCTTTATCATGTTTATCTTTCCACAATAATCACACTTCAACCAGTCCCGATCAACCAATGGACCCTTACCACCACCTTGAGGCTGACAAGGTGGAGTATCATGTGACTTGGGGTCGACAACTATAGACCGGACTTTCTTCGTCGCCCCCTTTCGGAGGGCTTCGAATTGGTCTTCTACAGTTCGGACTCCTGTCACGGTTTTGAATCTAATCTCACAAAGTGCAATGTGAGATTGATAAACACCAAAGAGTCCAAATCCAGCAAATCGTTTTGAAAAATCGATTTTAATCAAAAAACGCCATACATGAACTGCTATGCCAGATTACAAAGTCGCTACCTGAATATTTTATTTTTGAAAAATTTAGGAAACCCTGACTCGTGCCAAAGGCCACGTGTCCGTCATCACCAAAGTTGTCTCGGCTCGGGAACTTGGGTACGAGAGGGGAAGGTCCTGAAATGAGCACCCCCACTCGCCCGATCAAATGATCGGCCTCTACTACATATGATATGCTGTTTTTATAAACACATGTGTTCTTATTCTAGTTATTAGACTAACATTACTATGTGATGCGCACAGCATACAAGTATAGATTAAGTCGCAAGATTTGGAACAAATTCAACTCATGTTTGTTTTCGAAAATGGTTTGAAAATGCCACCCTCAAGTGGGCTAAAGTGCGGATTTGCCATCTTACAAGATGGGCTTTAAAACACGATTTGCCACTTCGCAAAGTGGGCTTAAAACTCACAATCAATGAATTATCCCAATTCAAGCAACAAAGCCTTCATCCACAAGCATTCATGCAGTTAAGCATATAAGCACATAGCCTCATGGCAAGCATGCGAAACATGGCAGTCACTTACACACATGCAAGGATGCTAAAGCGTAAAACTTACAGTGTACTCCGAGCCAAAACAAAGAACTAGTTAGAAACAATGCATGATCCTAACTATACAAGATGCCTAATGCAACACATACAAAAATGCAACTAATAGGCTCGGCTATCTAAGATGGCAGATGAATGCAATGATTTGATATCATGCTGTGAAACACGTATTCAAATAGGTATTGAAATATGATGCAGTTTGAATGATACGCCGAGCCCGGTGCATGCACGCATGCAAGTATAAGGTATGCTAATCAAAATATGCCCTAATCTAACCATCGAAAGAGATTAAATAAAAGGGAGAAAGACGTGGGGTTAGAAGAGATGCACACACACACGCACGCTTATTACAACATTGTGCCTTCTCAAAGGAGGGTCCGAATGAATAAGCTAAGTTACGCTAAGCTAAGCTAACTAACTAATCTAATTAAACTAATTAGACTAATCATTATAAGCCAAACGAATAAAGAAATAGCTAAACTAAGCTATTTAATTATTACAACACTTAACTAATTAGCATGCTAATTAATTAAATTACAAAACTATGCTAACTAACAAGTAAAGCATTAAACCATGCTGCCTCAGCTCTGATTGGAAGATGAACATGCATGCACTAGGTTTTCGCCCCGAAAAGCTTTCCGGTTTGCTCTTAAGAGGCTCTGTTTGCAGGGTTTCTCCAAGAACTTGCTGCATCATCTTACCAAATCCAAGCTGGGAAGTGCACCAGTGGCCTGCCGGCCATGAAAGGTGGCTGCCGACCACCTGCCACGGTGGTTGCCGGCCAAGAGTGTGCCTCTATGGGCCAAGGGTGAAGCAATGCCAGCCATCAGTGAGGCACTGCCGGCCACTGGTGTGCTAAAACACCAAACTGCAGCATAGCACAAAACAGAGGAAAAAATGAGGGTTTTTCAGGGACATGTTTGTACTATGCCACTCCTTATCATCTCAAAACATCAAAAGAGTGGCATCATTGGGTCTAAAGCCACCAAACAAGTATTTTCAATGCATGATGGCCAAAGATCCAACTTGTACACATTCAATAAATGCACAAAACAAAGACACAAGTCAATTACCTTATCATAAGAGATCAAAGGCAATGGAGACCAAGAAACGTGACACGTTTCATCACTGTGAGTATGAAACGTCTCGCATTTCTTGTGTTTGGATTAACGTCTGATCCAAACACATGCAATGCAACACACATATGCTTATCTTGCTCATATTTTACTTAATTGATTTTGTTTACACATTTTAGCATTACCGATCCATTCTTTAATCGGTTAAGTCCAATGTGAGTGTCCTCTAATGAGAGAGGGGTCAACCAAAGAATGACTTATGACATGAGAGAGATCATGCCTTTGGTTAGTAGAAATCCTCAAAGAAGACTAAAACCATTGAGCACAAGCTCTATCTCAAGCTTAAACACAACCTAAGGTTAACTAACCCTCAAAACAAATCAAAATCGAAGAAATGAGAGAGGTTACAGAATGTTTTAGTGCTGAAATGGCATGAAAAATAATACTACAACATGCAAGCAACACATGCACAACATGTTAAGAGCCAAAAGCATTAAACTAGTGAAAAGAAGCATGCAATACCAAACTCAAATGATCAAACCAGCTATGGACAGACCTAAAACATGCCAAATCAGTGGCTAAAATATGCTGAAACTTAGGCACAAAAGACAAGAAAAGCATGCTCATATGATGGCTCACAAACAAAGCACAAAGCACAAATCTCAAAAGCACTTAAAGAGTGAAATATGTGAGAGTGTGGCAGAGATATAAGCATTGAAATCACATGCTAAATGATGATATATCATGCAAACATCACAAGTAAAGCATGCTAAGGGCCTCAAAACTCACAGCTAGGGAAGCCAACTATACTATAGCTATACAAAACAAGCCTCAAAGGCCCAAGACCACTCAAAAAAGTCCTAAAGCATGTCAAAACAAGGCCAAAAACATGTTGGAATGTAACTAACACAAGCTAGAATGATAGGTTAGAACATCAAGTATGCTAGGCTAGTAAGCTTGATTACACTACAAGTGTAAGAAGCAATCAAGGAATAACCCAACCAGCCAAAAATAGAGTTAAAGCAGGTCAAAATAAAGCCTAAAACATACTTGAGCTAAGCTTCAAAAAGGGAGAAATACATGCTCACTTGGTAGGCCATCAACACATGCCAACAAAAAACAAGGAGGGGAGGCCACCGCCTCCTATTTTGGACCTCAAAACTAAGTTTCTACCACTGAAATTCGTCAGGAATTCAGTGGTTAAAAGGCCAAGAAAAGAGTGTTTTAAACCCTTTAAAAGATGGCACAAAGCTTAGCAAATAAACCATAAAAGGGGGTGGAACACCTCTAACTCCAAAAGGGATTCAAACTACCATTTTTAATACTTAAAAATAGAGGTTTTTGTAGTTGACAACTAGGCCAAAAATAGCATGCAAAGGTGGCCAAACCAATCTGCAAGAGTAAGCTTAAAAGCGATAACTCCTTACCCTTGAAGCACGGCAGCAAATCAGCAACTTTTCTGAGCTAAAACTAGCTTTGAGAGCTCAAACAAGACCTCCAAGAACCTTAGCTCCAAGGTGAAGGTGTTTGGCTAACGGTGCTAGTGCAAATGTGTGGAGAAAACTTACTTTCAAGCACAAAATATAGAGAGAGAGGATTCTAGAGTGAGAGAAAGAGAGAGAGAGAAATCTTGCTCATGCAAATTTTGTAACCCTTTGCATGCATATAGATTAACTCTATATATAGAAGATACAAAGGCTTTTTGTAAAGATTCAACCATCCACGTGCAAGCAGATGGGCTCATCTGTGCAAACAGTTGTCAAAATATCTGTAAAAATATCTGTTAAAACATTGGTGGCCGACCGGCCATCAGTGATGGCCGACAAGGGCTCATTTATGGCCGGCAGGCCAAAGTGCATGGCCGGCAGAGCCCAATCATGGCCGGCAGTGCACCACAAACAACATGCTGACAGGACCAACACATGGTCCAAAAATTGGGCAGAAAGGATACAGGGTTTGGAAAGCTCAAACCTGTGACGTTCCACTGCGAAATTCGAGTACTCGACGAGCAACCAAACTTACCACCGGATGCACCTGCAAGCATATCCAAGTCTTGAGGATGGTCAAAAATGGGGTGTCTACAACAACCATTACTGACCGATCCTGAACAGGGGCATGCACCATAGCACTACGACGACTCTCCTCCTGTTGAACCAGTGCATAAGCCTCACGCAATGTAGGAAACGAAGAGCGACAAAACACCTGAACCCGTTTATGATCATACTCCAAATTTAAGCTTGCAAGAAAGTCATACACTCCCTCCTTCTCCACAGCCTGCTGAAACATAGTGGCATCCGTGGAGTAAATTGGCTGGAAACTCTGGTAGTAATCTAGCTCCTGCCATAAACCACTCAACTCAGTGTAGTAAACTGCCAGAGAGTGATCCTTCTGATTCAAGCCCCTAATCTTCTTTCTTAATTCATAGGCCTGTGCATCATTACCCTGTTGAGAATACATCTGAGAGGCAGTTATCCAGATCTTGTGAGCAGTATCTATCAAGAGAAAAGTCCGACTAATGGTAGGCTCCATAGAATTGATGAGCCAGGTCATAACTAAAGCATTCTCAAAAATCTATTGAGCGGATAAAGCACTATCCTCAGTAGGTTGCTGGGTACTACTAGTAATATAGCTAGTCAATCGCCGGCAGCAATGGCAAGACTGCTGGAGCAGGACCAAATCAAGTAATTGGTACCATTAAGCTTGACTAGACTAATCTGGAGAGATGGACTATCACCAAGAGTCATACCACGACTTAGTCCATTCTCCTCCTTGCCCTTACCCTCGCTGGCAGCCATGAGATAAGAGAAAGATGGTATAGAAACACAAGCAGGATATCAAACAAATCCAGAAAACAATGAACCAGCACAGCAACTCACCTTCTAAGGCTAAAACAGGGCAAGATTATCCCAGAACACAGTAACCAGATCACCTACAAGCCCAAAAACTGAAGCAGACCATCCAAAACGTAGGAAAAAGACAAGGTAGGGCCAAAATACCTCAAACCAGGGACAACAAACTCCTTAAAGGCTCCAGTTGGCTCCCACAGAAGTGAGGGAAGGGACAAAACTAACCAAAAAAGGTTCAAACAGGAACTTGCGAAAAATCACCCAATTTTGACGAAAAATCAAAAAAATTGGAAATAGCAATCAATAATGGCCAAAACATCAAAATGAGATTATAGGGTGTATGCCCATTAAATTTCAAGCATATTTATATTTTTTTTAATATTTTTTTTATTATTATTATTGTAGACATACCTACAAGAACAAGGAGGGAAGAATGAGAGGAACAATCTTCAAGGAGGAAGATATTGCTCTGATACCATGTTGAATGGTGGTGAGAAGAAGAAGAAGAAGAGAAAAAGAACGAGCCCATTAAATTTCAAGCATATTTCTATTTTTTTTAATATTTTTTTTTATTATTATTATTGTAGACATACCTACAAGAACAAGGAGGGAAGAATGAGAGGAACAATCTTCAAGGAGGAAGATATTGCTCTGATACCATGTTGAATGGTGGTGAGAAGAAGAAGAAGAAGAGAAAAAGAACGAGAGAGAGAGAGCTGTTGTATATTTTTCAATTCAAAAGCATAGGGTTTCCATCTTACACACAACTATTTATACTAATAAGAATAAGATATAAAGACCAAACTACCCCTAACACTTAACAATATATATATATATATATTAACTCATAGTGTGTCCAGGTCTTCACCCCAGCTAATTCTCAATTCCTAGTATCTTCCATCCTGTATATACACTCTGTAATTACTGGACCTAGGCCCTGGGGTGGCCTCAAAGGAGTGGGAAATGAACTTTTAACGTCCATCATTGAGGATTGAACCCATGACATTGTATATGAGAGTCATAAACCCCGAAAACTAGGACTACCCAATTGGTTTTTTGATCCTTTGAACTCTATTTTGTTTTTTTTTTTTTTTTTGAAGGTATTTAACCTCAAATAATTTTTTTGGGGACCTGCCGGGAACACTAGCAAAGTTGACCACTTTGAAGGACTTGTGAGTTTTTATAAGTTTTGTTTTTTTCCATTTTTTGTGGGATTTTAATATTCCTAAACTAGGTACTAATGTTTATATTTTGAAATCTGTTGTTCAATTATTGTTTACCACAACGCAGTCGGATCGGCGACAACTTCTTCACAGGAAGCATACCCAATTTCATCCAAAACTGGATACATCTTGAAGCTTTGTGAGTCCTTGACATGTTTTGATGTCACTTGTTTTTCAATCAACAACTTATTTAAATAAACATGGTAATGGTAGATTGATTCAGGCTAGTGGCTTGGATGGTCCAATTCCTTCTGGCATTGCCTTTCTGACTAATATGACCGACTTGTCAGTGAGAAACCTTTCACTCTTTCAGATTTTATCCATATTGTATGCATTGATGGTGTTTGAATAATAATTTTCTTGGTAACCGATGTTTCATTTATTCTGTTCTTGGTTGAAATACAATATGTAGGAGAATTAGCGACTTGAATGGAAGCAAAGTGTCTGATTTTCCATTCGTCGGTAACATGACAAAACTAAAGAGACTGTAAGTTGGATGCTTCTTTATCATAGCCTTAGAAAGAGTATGAAAATGTCTTCTTGGTGACTTGAACTCATGTATTCTTGATCGCATTGTAGGTTGATGAAAAGTTGCAACATTAATGGAAGCTTACCAGTATATCTTGGGACAACTCAATGGACTGAATTAAAATTTTTGTTAGTATATTGTTATTCCTTTCCTCCATTATCTATTAGCAGTAGACAGTAGTAATCAAGGTTCTGAAAAGCGGTTGCGGTCGCCGTAACGGTGGCGCGGTTGTGATTGCGGGGTGTAAAGGCCGTAGCATAACGGTTGCGGTAACCGGAACCGTGAATTTTTTTATTTTTTGCACAATTCGAAAAAAACTTACTGATATGCACATTTTTTTCCATGATCATATTTATTGGGTTTTAAAATAAATATTGATCAATTTTTGTAAATTTTTAAGTTTGATGTAATATATTTCATATTTTTAAATCACTATAAATTGAGTTTTTTACATTTTATTTTAATAATTAATGATTTTATATTATACAAAAAATCAATCACTAACTATTATATGTAAGATAAACAATAACAAAAGTAAGAGAATAAATAAAAGCCTAAATATATACACATATATATGCATATATATATATTAATCAAGCCAAATAGATAATGACCACACTTATTATTATTATTATTATCAAACAATATATAGATAGACACACACAAACAAAATGGTTGAGTGATAGCAGCTGAGTAGAATAGCATAGGTCTTACAACTTCAATGAATCAATAACATGTTCTTCATCTTCCCTATTCTCTCTCTATCTCTTGTTCCTCCATCTTCCCTCTTCTTTCTCTGTCTTTCTTCCCCCATTTTCAATTTTTTTTTTTGTGTTTTTTCGAAAGAAGCAATTCGGAACCGTTGCGTAACGGTGCGTAACAGGCTATTACGGTCGTTACGGCGCCGTTACGACCGCTATAGCAGCCGCTACGGCCGATACACCAGTGAATCTCAATCACAATACAAAAGCGGTTGTAACGGGTGGCGATAACTACCACAACCATTACGTAACGGCGTTACGTAATGGTTGCGGCCACTTTTTAAAACCTTGGTAGTAATAGTAAGTTCTCTTGTAAGAGCTTTTTGGTCCTTGCTTGTTCGAGGATAATTTAATGTCGTGTCTTGTAAATTAGCTATCTTGTGTTGGTATGTAATGTATCAAACTTTTTATAGCAGTGAAACAAACCAAGTTTTTGACCTTGTAGATAGATATCTGATAATTGAAGGAACCTCGAGTAGCATGTGTGTATGTACAACTACTAGTAGTAGTGATGATAAATTCAAATGTTGAAGCATTTTAGAGAATTTAGATTTATAGCAAACCAACCAATGAAGAAATGAAACCCGTATTGGCAATTTTTATACTACTACAATTTGGAGAAATGTCTTATAATTTAATTCAAAGATAAAGGTAGCAATTGATCAGCTGAGAATTTTTTGTTCTGCCAAATACTCCATCATGTTGCAAAGATGGACAATTACTTCTGTGGGGTTGAAAATTTCAATTCATTGTATTGACTATTTGCTTCAGAGTCTATTTTACTGAAATGAAATTGTTGTGAAATAAAAATTATTTTGAATAGCCATTCTAAACTTTTTTTCTTTATGATTTCTCTTGCAGAGACCTTAGCTTTAACAAACTAAGTGGAGAAATTCCAAGCACCTTTAAGAATCTGAGCAATTTAACTTCCATGTAAGCCCTCTTTTCTTGTTTGGTTTTAGTTTAATTTTGTAATAAGGCAATACGGTTGAATATAGAGAGATAATAGAGATAGAAAAGAGAAAAGTAAGAACACAAAGGTTTAACAATATTGGCTTACATCCACACACACAAAGCCCTAAAGGGCTACACTATATCTTTCATTCATTCAACTTGATACTCTTGTTTACATGATACACCATATATATAGAGTGGGAGATACAATCAGATCTCTTCAGTTAGGAATTGAAATACATTAAAGATTCAAAAAGTAATAATAAGCATAAATCATGAGATCTTCATATATTCTAATATCTTCTATATCTTCTGATATCTTTGACAATAATCTTATCTCCAACACTCCCCCTCAAGTTGGAACACGGAATAGCTGAAGTGAAGTATCCAATTTGAACTTGAAAATAGTACGATCATTACAAATAACTACAATGAAGTTGCCAAAAGATAACAACAATTGTAATAGCTCCCTTCAATGACGACTTCATTGAACATAGTAAGGAATTAACATCTTGGAATAGAGAAACATGCATTGAATCAATCATGATAGCAACAAGAGAAACCAACGGAGAAAGAGAAAACAACGAGGCCGAAGCAATGACAAATCACCACAAACAAAAAGGCCAAAAAACGGCATCCCACAAAGAATGCTATTGAACACACCCTAAGAAGCATGGACACGGACACGTGACACGACACGAATACGACACGGACACGCCGACACGTTAATTTTAAAAAAATGCAGGACACGACACGTGGAGGATACGCATGAAATATATAATTTTATATATTTATTATTTGTTATATATGTGAATATATCATTCAAAGATAATAAAAAATGCAATATAGCATTATTTCCTATAAATTTATATGGTTTTTGTTTTATTATTGTATCTTAAGTTGTTTTGTTCAAACTTATAATTAGTTTTACATATCTATAATCAATAGACACATGTGTTTAAACAATTGACACGTGTGTCCTCCAAGTGTCCAAAGAGTGTCCGGGTCTTTAAAAATATTTAAAAAATAGGACACGTTTTGAAGAGTATCGGACACGTGTCCTAAGAGTGTCCAAAGAGTGTCGGTGTCCGACACGGACACGACACGGATACGTTACCTTCTTAGAAGTGTCCGTGCTTCTTAGAACACACCAGTAGCCCAAAAATAAAAAAGAACTAAATATGTACTTACCACATCAGTACAGGGACCCTAAAAGGATAGAGAAGTAGTTGGAAAACTCGACGTATCACAAAATAATGCTGTTGAACCCATTGGCAACCTCGAAATAAGTAAAAATCATATAGTTTGTTTACTACATCAGCAAACTAGTAATCAACTCAAGGAAGAGGGAAAAACACCCTGATAACAAAAAATATAGAGTGAGTGAGTTTTCTATAGAGAAACATGCCTAGGATTCAGTAGGTTCTGATACCAAGTTGAATTTGGTAACAAGGCAATAAGGTTGAATATAGAGAGATAATAGAGACAGAAAAGATAAAAGTAAGAACACAAACGTTTAACGTGGTTCGGCTAATATTGGCTTACATCCACACACACAAAGCCGTAAAGGGATACATCTTTCATTCACTCAACTTGTTGTTTACATGATACACCATATATATAGATTGGGAGATACGATCAAATCTTATCAATTAAGGAATTGAAATAAATCAAAGATACAAAAAATCATAGTAAGTATAAATCATGGGATCTTCATATGTTCTAATATCTTCCATATCTTCTGATATCTTTGACAATATAATCTTATCTTCATCAGTTTCCTTATGCCAAGTTTTGGATGCTGATTATCAAAAGGCACCAAAAATCAAATTCATTAAACGATGAACTTGAACATATTAGCTTGAAATTTATTGACTTAAATGAATGTTAGATTAACTCTTAGAGTCTTGGATATGAAACCAAGGAAGTTATTTGGGTATAAAGCCGGACAATCCTTTGGCCCAAAGAGTCTTCTCATGTGGTACTATTAGAAAGGAAGCAAGAAGTAGACAAGCAGGCACCTTGTAACCCTCTGGACTACTTGAAAAAGTATGTAACACGAGAATCCTGCTTTGCTTTGCAAAGAAGAAAAAGAAAAGGCTACTTTTTACCTCTAATATTTGACCATAGTTGTCAAATCGAGATTCGAATCGTGAATCGAAATGGAATTGTACCGAATCACGAATCGAATCGTGAATCATAAAGGTTCGGTCACATTTTTTAAATTACATAGAAAAATATATTTACATACTTAGATATTAAATACTAGTGGAAAACCTGTGCTATGCATGGTAAGAAATATTTGAAGTCATTAAAATACGTCAATAAAAAAAAGAAGAAAAAAGAAGAAGTTGTGCTTTACACTCATAATATTTGTTAATTATTATTTTAAATTTTAAATTTTAAAAATTGTAACTTTCCGTTTTAAAACTTTTTCATTAGGATTATGATATTTACCAATTGAGTGGGTTTGTTAGGGTATTGGCTTTTTTAGTAGTGTTTTGACTAAAATGTGAGATGAAAAAAATTGAGGTGTTTGCTAGTTTTGAAGTGTATCTACATTAAAAAAATTCAAATTCAAATTATGCTATAGTTATTAGTAAACTTTTATACTTAGCCTAAGTTTAGTTATTGATAAATTGTCTTGTTTAGTGCTCAAATCTCATGAGTTGCTTGGCATGTGTATTATTTATTTTTAATTAATACATATATTTTTCAATATTTTTAAAATCAAAGTAAAAAATGTATATTTTTTATATATTTATTAATTTGTTAAACTTAAAATAAAAATTTGAGCAAAATCTATTTTACTTTCATGTGGTATGGCTTGAAAGCACTTTACCTCCCGTCTTTTAAAAATAGCCATATGCCTCCCATGTGAGTTTAGACTAAAATGCAACTATTAACACCATTAATTATAGATGTGAAATGACTTTAATGCCCACAAACCTTATATTTTTTATTATCTTCTTTCTCTCTCATCTCCCATACATATAATTTATAATGTATAGTATTAATTCAATTAAATCACAGTTGATTATAAATTCTTAATTATTTATTGTAATTCTTAAATTTTTATTCTAATTTTAATTTAATTATATTTTAGATCACAACTAATCCAAAATATTTAACTATTTATTGTAATTACTAATTTTTTAATCTAATTTTAATTTAATTACATTTTATATCAATTCTTAATTCTTATTATTTTTATACTTTTAATTATATTTTATATTTTAGATCAATTCTTAACTATGTTATATTATATTTTATTTTATTTATTTTGATTAACCTATTACTCAAAATTTAGGTTTGGACAAAATGAGGGTAAAATTATCTTTTTGTTGTATTCATTTCATTCTAATTTTTCAGAAAACAAAGCCCACTGTAAAAAATATTGTGTGTTACCTTTTGTTAGTTTGGATGGAAAAACTAACGGTAGTACTTTAGTCCAAAACTATATGGAGATTTTCTGGTTATATTTGAACTATAAGGGGTAAAGTGCTCCAGTCCTAAACCATAAGGGGGTAAAACGAATTTAACCCTAAAATTTTTATAGATTTATTCTTCAAATATGATTAATATCGATTATATGAAATTTGTAAACTTTAATTAATATATAATTACATTTGAAAAACCTATTATGGATCAAATCAAGCTAACCCATGGACTATGTTTTATCTAAGAATTAAGTCAAGAGTAGTGATATGGTACTTTGTAAAAATATTTGTTAATTATTATTTTTAACTTAATTTAAAAATTTAAAAATTTCCATTTATTTATTTTTTCAATGGGATTATGATATTTACTAATTTGATTGGGTTCGTTAGGAAAATGGCTTTTTTAGTGGCATTTTGGCTAAAATATGAGATGAAAACAAATGAAGTAATTATTATTTTTTAAGTGTATATAAATTAAATATATCTAAAAAAAATATTAATTAAAATAGTTAAAAAACTCGTTAAAAAAAAATACAGATTTTGAAATTTTCAAACCAAACAAAGTGATTGAATTGGCAAACCTAAAATTCGTAAAACAAATTAAACAAATTAATGAACTCAAGCGTGTTTAAAAATGCTTGCTTTCAAAATTTAGTGATAAAAAAAAAAAAGCAATAGACAAATGAAAAACATGACAAAGTTTTAAAATTATAATAGTATATAGATAGTATGTAGATAGATTCAAAAATTGATTTTACTTTCCAAATTAAAGTGATTTAATGATTATTACCATATGAACCAAATAATTAATTATTAATTACATTTGAAATACAATAACTGATGATTGAATGACATGTGTATTTATGTATTTTATAAATTAAAAAAATTATGTTGAGAGTTTCAAGCTCAAAGAGGGTAGAACGTTTTTGCTTATATTATATAATATCTAATAAATATGAAGTATTTAGACTTAAATCAATGAAAATATTGTTTTAAATGATGATCATGTGGTCTAAGTGAGAGGTTAACACAGGTTCACATGTTTACCACTTCTCTTTTTTCCTTTTAGATACTATTTGTTATCAACCATTCTTAATAAAGAAAGTAAATAAAGACAAACTTTCAATTTCCAACTTCCAAATAACAATAACTCAACAACAGTGTTTTTAACTTTTTACAAAGTTAAAAAAACCAAAATCTTCAATTTTTTTCAAAAATTTCACTTCCAAAAATTCATTTTGTAAATGCAAGTATTTAGATAAAATTGAATATGTAAACCTAGAATATTGTAGAGAGAGAGTTCATTTTTTTCCGCTAAGGTTTGAGTATTTGAGAATAAATAGGGAGGGAGAAAAGTCAAAAGATGACATATAGTAATCCTAAAGACCTTAAAAATGTTGTGTGAACCATTTTCCAATAATAAAAAATCAAAAAAGAAAGCCAAACATCGATTTAGTGAATCGAATCGATTCACAATTCACCGATTTACCTACGATTCATAGCTATTTGCGATTCACATAACCTGTTTGTATTGATTAC